TTAAGTCAAAAAAATTATTTTATGTAACACTGTTTTATTATTTATTTAACACTGCTTTCAGCTTTAGTTGAATCATATTCAGTTCATACAATTTAAATGGAACAGAATGCTGCTTTTAACTGATACAATAAGAGAAAGAACAATCAGATATAAAAGTTTAAAAATTCTTTAAAAAGAAAAGAACATGTAGAACTATAATAAAATGTATAACAAAACATCTATTAAATTAAAACCTAGGGTAATATTTGAATAACAATATATATTATGACATAAGGATAAAAGCTGCTTAATATAAAAATGACTAAGTTGTAAGCATTGTTATAAATACAAAAACATTAGTATTTAATATTAATGGTTTTTGAATTAATATTAGTTATGTGTTTTTCTGAAGTCTCTTTGTCTAGCAGAGGCTTCCAAGTGCTTTGTAAAGTTTATAATTTTTAAGTATTGTGATAATCTGTAAATATATATCTGTTCTAACAGCTTTATATGGAATTCTTTTCTAAATTTTTTAATCAGTGTTGTTTTGTCCCAACTACATTTTTTTTGCCATGTTCAAATCATTAAGGAAGTAGCTGCTTAATGGCAACTTTTGGCAATGGATCTAAAATGACCTTTGACCCTCACATTGATTGACCTACATGTTGAGCCTATACAAAAGTAATCTACATTTAGCTTAGATAGCCCTGTTGTGTATATCCCTGATTTGTGAATGTATTTAATTTATCCTTGTCTGTTCTCAGGAGGCATGACAGAAGGGTTTCTTTGAACACTTAAGTAATATCTTGCTCTATATCTGCTAGTGCTACTTTACTTTTTACTACAATTACAGCTTTTTTGTTTTATATTATAATGCACTTAATTTGCTTTCTTACAGATGCTTTAATAAGGTAATTTCTGACCTTCACAGGAATTTCATGATTGTAGGAAATTGTTTTAATTAGATCACTTTCTGAATTTTTATCAATTATTTTTGACAAAATGAGTAACAGTCTTTCTTATGAACATTTTTTGTATTTCCTTATGTAATGATTACAAAAATCTCAGATCTGTTCTTAAGAATGTATTTACAAAGGCTCTTGTCAAAGAAGAAAAGGAATACTTATAGAACAAAAGCAAAACTTTTGCAAGCTAAGGAAAAAGTATTTTGTTTTCTTTAATAAATAAAAGAAAACAAAATAATTTTATTTGTATTAAAATCATTTACACAAATAATCATATTTTTAGTGAAATAATCATTATGCAATTCAGCTTTACATGTATATAACAATGAAAGTTTGACAAAGGCACATGATTATAAACTGCTGGATTTTTATCATGCTATTTTTTAGTTAAATAAAAGTTAATTACAAATGAATTAGCATCAAAGTAAACATAGGTTTTCTTGTTTACATATGATGGTGTAAAAATCCAGCATCTTGATTTTAATTTTTATTTACTTATAATTTTGATTTTAAATGGCTTTCCTCAATTTTATAACAGAAGGAATTTATAATTTCAGATGGTATGCTGGAGATATGTCTCGACAAAAATGTGAAATTGTACTTAGAACTGAAAATAAAGAAGGAACATTTGTTGTTCGTAATTCTTCTACAAAAGGAATGTTTACACTATCATTGTTTACTAAAAAGTAATTACTTAATATTGTTTAATTATTGATTATAATTCTTTTTTAATAATAATATCTATTTTTGTTTTTATTTTTCTTCATTTTTTTTAGTAGAAGTAATAGAATTTTAAGTGTAGATTTTCATCATTTGCATATTCTCTACTAGAAAACAACTATCTAGTCTAAAGAATGAAATTTATTTTAATTTTAAGAAATAAATATAAAAAACTTTAGATTTACTATTATATCTTAGTTTTATCTTGCATATCATACATATCACTGAAAAATATGGATCCAGTAGAATTGCATATTGTTGTATGAAATGTATAACAGTGAGAGACAGTATGTTTAGTTTTAAGTATTGTACATAAAAAAAAAATGTAGAAAAGCTCTGTTGAGTGAAAAGCATTTTTCATTGGATTGATATTTCAGTAACAAATTGTATTACATGATAAATTTGTAAAAACTCACCAAAAGTAACATTTTAATTTCAGTTCTTTTGTTAGTGTACTGAGCATTTTGTTTATAACCTTTTGTTCTAAAATGCAATTATCAGTGTTGTTACTAATTTATTATTTATTATTTGTGTGATTTAAATATTTTAGTAGTTTTATATATGTACTAAATTCTAAGTTTTATATTGGATGCGGTCAATTATAAATTAATTTTAAATAAATTTACGATACATAAATTTTATTATATAACTAAGTATTTATTTTTATTTTAAAGTCCTCATCCTCAAGTCAAACATTATCATATTCGAACAAATGCCAAAATGGAATATTATTTATCTGAAAAACATATCTTCTCAAATATTCAAGATCTTATATATTATCATAAACATAATAGTGGCGGATTAGCAACAAGACTCAAACAACCACCTAGTAGCCAAACAAGAACTGCTCCAACTACAGCAGGGTTAAGTCATGGTATGCAAATATTGAATTCAAAATAATTTTATATTTTCAGTTTTTTTATAAATTGAGATTAATTTTAATTATGAAAAATCTTTAAAACTTGGTAGCATATTTAATGAAAAATAAAAATACTGCTAAATATGGCAATTAAAAACCATTTATTTTTATTTATTATTAATCTTAATTAGTTAAATCTTTATTGTTTTGTTAATTTTAAATTAATAATAGATTTTTGAATTTATTAATGGATTGTAAAAATCTAAAATATGCGAACTACATAAAAGGGCATATTAATTAAATGTTAACTAAACGTCAAAAATCAAAATTATCAAAAATTATATCTACTAAATCTTTCTGAAAGACGGTTTAAAAGCCTTACAATTATGTCAGTGTCTAAAATCACCGACAATTTCTGCTTAAGTTCATTTAAATTTAATGTTGCAAATGTATATTCTATTTTTGTATGGTTAACATTTGATTTTTAAATTTTATCATAATGTTTCTAAATTATGTTCCTTTCTTTACTTGAAGATGATATTGATAAAATATTGAAAGTGCAAGCAATGATTTTATAATAAAAATCGTTTATTGCCAATAAACAGTGGTTACCTCGTTCTTTAATTTTATAATATTTTGGCATGGTAAACCTAATCATTCTTTTATGCAGTTTTTGGATTTAATTTGTTTTAATTGATCAGAATATTATGAGATTATTCAAATGTTACATAACTAAATATTGGTGTATTTTTCACAGATGGCAATGGATTATTGTCTTTATATTATGATTTTAAATAAGAACCCTTACAACAAATTAAATAATGACATTTTTTAATGTGTTGTATATTATTATTTAATTTCTAAAGAATATGCATAAATCTATGTACGAATATAAAAATTTTTAAATGATTTTTCTTTTGGAGAAGAAAGAGATATTTTAGCATGATTAAATGCGAAGATTTTATTGCATTGCAAATTTTCAATTAAAATTAAATATTATTTTGTTTTGAAATTCTGAATTTTGTATATATTGTAGAAGTTTATAGTTAAATTAAGTTGAAATATCATCATTTAATTATTTAAATCAGGGTTTTTATATGTTTTTAGATAAATGGGAAATTGATCCTTCTGAATTAACTTTATTGGAAGAATTAGGAAGTGGTCAGTTTGGTGTAAGTATAAAATATAGATTAGAAATTAGAGTATTAAATATAAATTAATATTGAAAGAGCCACCGCAAACTACAGGATGCAGGAGCTAGCGTACGCTCGCTCGCGCTCCTAAGCCCCGCCTTTTTTCCCATGATGCTTTGAGCCATTTTTGCTAGGTAAGCTACGCGAGCACGAAGCAGCCGCAAACTACACAACGTTTGCTCGCGTAACGTAGTCCACATGACGTGGATTCCACAGATGTAGATTGGCTATAGAACAAGATTTTATTATAACCTATACTTGTAATCAGTCAGTTTTCGTTCCGAACTTTGAAACAGCATGGAAAAAACATGTTTACTAGTTAAGCCTAACTAGGCTTAACTAGCCGAAAACTATTTATACTGTATATTACTATTTACATACAACGGTTATACTATTTTCTTTTCAATACTGAATGTATTAATCATGTAATTTACGTACATCGATAAAATTCTATAATTTCTTTTTCGATATGTGACATGTTTATGTTGTCATCCATTTTTCCCGTCCTCTCTTGCTAGCGTAAATACTCTAGTTGTTGAAATATCTGAACAGCGAGCGTACTCTCGTATCGCTGCGCTAGCGAAGGAAAAACAGCGTGGGCAAGAAGACATGGGCGGAGCCTTCGACGTCATCGGTTGTCTAGCGCACGTTTGCTAGCGTGTTTGCTCTCGCAAAGCCCTAGTTTGCGGCGGCTCAAATTTTATTAAAAATTTATGTATGAATTGTTTTTCTTTATTAATAATAATAATAATAATAATAAAATTATCATATAGTATAATGAAATATATTATAAAAAATCTGGTTAATACTATTATTACTGCTGCAATTTAAAAAAATTGTAAACTTTTAAATTTCCACTGTCATCCATCTATCTGTTTGTCCTGTCTTTTCTTAATCTTGAGAACAGAGTAAGATAGATGAAAGACCTAACCAGATATGGAAACCTTAGGGGTAGGAGGCCTTGATTAACTATATACAAACTTTCAATGCAAATCAGAAGTCATGTTATTTCATTTCAAAAATTTTCCTGTGAAAGGTGTAAGATAGATGACTGGCATGACTCTGTTGTTGAAGGAAAAATATGATGTACACAGGCAAGACATTACTAATTTGAGGTAGCGAGCATATATTTTAAATTAAATAAATAAAAAATATGATAAAAAGATTTCAGCCCAGCATAGTGACAATGTCACAATAAATAATTACTTGTTTTATTTATAAATATTTTCTAATAGATATTTTTCTAAATAATCTTTAAATATAAATATATTCAAAGATTTTATGGAAAAATACTTTAAAAACTTAAAAGTATAAGGAACTAATATTACTATTTTTAAAGTTTTTCAGATTTAAAATTTCTGAAATAGTTAAATTGTTTTAGTTTTTAATATTACTCAGAATACAAAAAAATTGGCAAATGTTTTTGAAATTGCACATCAAAATATGGATATTTAACTTAAAATAAAAATTATTCCTTAAATTTATGGCTGAAAACTATGTTTAAAGAATTGAAATAAATCTACATCAAAATGAATTACACAAATAGGTAATGAAATAAACTAAACAAAAAACTGACCTGTACATAAATTTTAAAAATATTACTGAATGCAAATTAAAATAAAAATTAGTAATATGTAAATAAGTGAAATTAATTTAAATTGAAATGAAATTAGATAAGTTTTTATCATTTAATTTTTAGGTTATTTTTGGTATTATTTTAACATTTTTGTTTATGAATTATTAGATTGCAGTCATTACATCAGTGAAATATTACAGTTATTAATTATAATGAATTTTTACAATAAAAAAATAAAATACTGTATGCTATTTTGGGCATATATTATGTTGTTTGTAATATATATTAGAACTACATCTTTACAGGTACAGACATCAAAACAAAATGAGAAATTTTGTTTTGATGTCTGTACCTTAAATATTTTCATAAATATTTAAACTTTTCATTTTGTTTTGTTGTTTATAATATCATATTTTTGCTTGTAAAACACAAACTTTCAAAGTTTTACTTAAAAGTTCAATACAATTTGACATAAATAAATCTTATTATATTTAGTATATTAATTAAAATAATACTTTGTTTTTATTTCTGCTTGCTGAAACACTTATACAGAAATTAACATTACAAATTGTGGACACATTTGCAAATGAAGTATTCATATAAAGCTTAAGATAAATGCAAAAATACCACATGAAAATATTTTAGTTTTTGATTTTTGTATTGATAGCTGAAGTTGCAAAGATAATTTATGGATTGCCATGTATTTTAAACTATCGGATGTTTAAATCCTTCGTTGCTTGTGATACCATGTTGAATTTTCATCAATGTTAAACCTAATGAAAATTACACATTTTTGAAAAGAATAATTGTGGCTATAGTAATGTTCAAAATTATTTTTTATTTATCACAAACAAAATAGATATATTAATAAATTTTGTAAAAATCATGTAAAAACATTATATTTCGAAAGTTAGTTTTAATATAAAAATTATAACGACTAGTGACATCTAGTTTCAAAAATGTTTTGATGAACGAGATATCTTGGGTCAACCAGTCGAGGTCAGAGGTCATTACCTCAAGATATATCGGGAATAACACAGGATAGGTTAATGTTGTAGAACGAGTGTCCAACTCACGGCCTGCAGGCCACATGCCTCCCAAGGCAACTTCCAATGTGGCCCAATAAACGTGTAAACAAAACCAGCAAATTAATAAATTTATTTCAATGGCATAAACTCAAATAAGAAGTTTCACAAAGCCGTAAACCTTTATAAATGTTTTATTTTTGAGTGGAAAGGAAATATTTTAAAATATTTCGAAATATGTGAATGAGGAAGGCATAATAAATGAAGCTGGAATTGTGACTCAAAGAAGTATAGACTCAACTTCGGGGAAAGANTTTAGAACTGCTCCCTTCTAAATTTTTAGCAATACGAATTAAAAATAATACTTTGTTTTTATTTCTGCTTGCTGAAACACTTATACAGAAATTAACATTACAAATTGTGGACACATTTGCAAATGAAGTATTCATATAAAGCTTAAGATAAATGCAAAAATACCACATGAAAATATTTTAGTTTTTGATTTTTGTATTGATAGCTGAAGTTGCAAAGATAATTTATGGATTGCCATGTATTTTAAACTATCGGATGTTTAAATCCTTCGTTGCTTGTGATACCATGTTGAATTTTCATCAATGTTAAACCTAATGAAAATTACACATTTTTGAAAAGAATAATTGTGGCTATAGTAATGTTCAAAATTATTTTTTATTTATCACAAACAAAATAGATATATTAATAAATTTTGTAAAAATCATGTAAAAACATTATATTTCGAAAGTTAGTTTTAATATAAAAATTATAACGACTAGTGACATCTAGTTTCAAAAATGTTTTGATGAACGAGATATCTTGGGTCAACCAGTCGAGGTCAGAGGTCATTACCTCAAGATATATCGGGAATAACACAGGATAGGTTAATGTTGTAGAACGAGTGTCCAACTCACGGCCTGCAGGCCACATGCCTCCCAAGGCAACTTCCAATGTGGCCCAATAAACGTGTAAACAAAACCAGCAAATTAATAAATTTATTTCAATGGCATAAACTCAAATAAGAAGTTTCACAAAGCCGTAAACCTTTATAAATGTTTTATTTTTGAGTGGAAAGGAAATATTTTAAAATATTTCGAAATATGTGAATGAGGAAGGCATAATAAATGAAGCTGGAATTGTGACTCAAAGAAGTATAGACTCAACTTCGGGGAAAGAAGAGAAAGGCCAAAATATAAAAAGTAGTGAGACCTGTTATGCAAATATTGACCCTTAATTTTCCAACCTTCTTCACTTCTTTATCTTTTGTCCTTTCTCTCCTTTCCATGCTTTTGGGTCTATAATCCTTTGAATCCTAACTCCAGCTTTATTTAGTTATTCCTTCCAGCATTGCAAGATTTGGCTACTTTGCGTGAAAATTGGCTATCCTTTTATTAGTTTGGCATAAAAAATATCATTTGGCACATTGGCTACTTTTTGGGCCACATATTATTTATAAATATATTAGTTGAATAAAAATGCACTTTAAAATGGTGTTTTGTCATTTTTTATTAATTAGAGACCCAAATAAAACAAATATTTGTGTTTTTGAAATAAATTTTTGTGTCTCCTTTATAATAAATGAATATCTATTTCTAAGTAAAAATTAAAAATGTCTGCAGAAGTAATTTTTTTATATATCCTTTTTGTAATAAAGTTTTAATACTTACTACTATAATCTAGACATGTTAAGTATACTTGTATATTTAAGGATTGGGCAAAAATATACTTGGCCACAAGTATATTATATATACTTGTGGCCCAAAACTCCATGACTTCTTCCAATGTGGCCCAGAGAAACAAAAAGGTTGGACACCCCTGCTGTAGAATATTATTAGTTATTCAACATATTCATTTTGTAACATAATAATTTATTACAATATTTAGTGATGGCCCTCTTAATTACAGTGGTTAATTCATTAAATGTTTTTAATGTGATTAAAGTGAAAATAATTACTTATTATTAAAATAGAAAAATTGTTTTAATATCTTTGAAATGTTAGATTGAAAATGCAATGGTTGGATATAGAACTAAAATTAGCATGCAAGTCAGAATAAGAATTTCTAGAATGTTTCTGAATAACCACATGAAAATATTTCAATTTGGTTCCATTAATTAATATTATTATTAGAATAGAAGTCAGTTTAGAAGGAAGATATGAAAAAATTAACAATATAATGAAAGTAAAAAGTATTCAGTATAAATAAAGAAGTGCATTTTGAAATAATTTTTTTTTTTTACTTATTATCATGCATAAATCTAAAACTGTAGTGTTTGGATTAACTATGTATTCTAGAACTGTTTGAATTTTAAGATTTAATATTACATATAAAGTTTGAAATATTTATATTATTATAGTTTGAAATAATATAAATATATTCAGTTTCAGAAGGAAATTATTTCTTTAAAGTCTTTTCTATTTATTTATGAAGTTAAATTCATTTTATGGTTCTATTATTTATTAGACTAATAAATTAGAGATTAAAATAATTTCATGTATGTAAATAAATATCTATGAATGTAGGTTGTCAGAAAAGGAAAATGGAGAGGTAGCACTGATGTTGCAGTTAAACTTATGAAAGAAGGTACAATGTCAGAAGATGATTTTATTGATGAAGCAAAAGTAATGACGTAAGTAGTTTATGCATTATATGAATGTCAATTAACTTACATTTAGATTGATTTATACATCCTCCATCCTCTTATTGACATGTAAAAACATGAAAATTGAATTGTTTTAGAATTTAGCTATTCTGCAAAAATTGTAATAATGAATTAAATTTTTTTTATTGAAATGCATTATTGAAGTATTTGCTTGCATGTTAATGTTATATATTAATATAAAGGATTGTGATCAATATGCATTTTCTCCTATATCAGTATAATTTATAAGATGCAAGCATAATAGAATGCATTCTGGAAAATTACTATACTGGTTGAATCTGCACTAATCATGGAACATATTTAATAAGGAAAACAATGATTCATGTAAAAAGGAATTTTTTTCACTTAAAAATAATTAAAACTGACTTAATAATAGAATCTATAAAAAAAAGTATACATGAAAATGAAATAAAATAGGAGAGTTGTCCTTTTTTTTTTTTTTTTTTTTTTTATGATACTTTTGATAGCAACAAAATGTGTTTAATAGTTTTTTGCGCTAATGCTATGTAATTCGTTTGGATCTTATTCAAAATTATTTCAGAAGTAGATTTTTTAAAAAATGCACAAAAAAAGTCCAAATGACATATCACCAAAAGATAACAGGATAGGTGAGTAGTTTGACTATGCTAGGAATTTTGTTGATTTTTCTAAATATAAATAGGCAATATTGCTATCAGCATGTATAGTACAATATTTTTATGATTTAACATCTTTATTCATTAAATAGGTACAGTACTTACAGGTTACATGTAATTAGAAAAATTGTTTGTATTTTTCTTTCTTACATTACTTTCTATTAAAATAAATTTATAAGTTAATAGAACATCTGAAATGGTATTCATCCATTTTTTTTTTATTATTATTTATTTACCTTTTTACCAGTATTTATTAAAATTTATTTTTAAAACTATTGTTAGAAATTCTCTGATACATATTAGGTTGGTATTACTGCATTATAATGAATCATTGCACATTAATTGAATCCTGAACTAAATGAAGTTGCACTAAGCAAGGTATTTTTGTATACTTTATGATTTCTTCCTTCTAACTTGTGTCAACTAATCATTGTTTTCCATGTTGTTTATATTTATTAATCGTTTTATGTTCTTGGTTAGTATCAAACTTTTGTACTAGAACTCATAATACTAATCAGTCAATTTATTATTCAGCTTCTTAATTCATTGAGAACTTAAAATATTAACTAAGACCACTATCTCATTCTTGTGGCTTCTTTAATATATAACAAAATAAAGTAAAGAATGTTGTTTTTACTATATTTGTGTTATTTGTCTATTATTTGAGTTAATACTAAAAGATAACACTCATCTATATTTGTTTTAATGATAGATGTGTATTAATAACATCATATATGTCATTATAGTTTAGTACACTGTTGTGATTGTTGTTCAAAATATTTAAGAAATTACTGTTTTAATAAATCATATTTTTTATATATATATTTAATTCAATTAGCCAATTTCAAGATAAATATAAATATAATGAATCAATGTTTAGAATTTATTTATATGATGCAAATATTTACATAAATTTTAGAAACTTTTTAAATTGTTTTTAAACTAGATACAATTTAAGATAAAATTTTTATTAATAGTCTATTGCAAAACAAGTTTATTAGTAAACAAAAATTATTATTTACTTGTATGAACTACAGTTTTTTTAATTAATGAAAAACTATTTGCAATAATTTTTTTCTGATAGATTCTATAACTATAAGTATGATGTATTTAAATTAAAATTAATCAATCAATAAAAAAGTAATAATTTTCATGTAGACAGAAATATGTGAAAATATCCAAATAAATATTTTTTTACATTTTACTTTAAATTTTGTTTACTTTTAAATTTGAGGAAAAAACTTATTATAGGTAGTAATTATACTTAAATTTTTTTAAAGGAAACTTCAACATCCTAATTTGGTACAATTATATGGAGTTTGCAGCAAGCATAGACCAATATTTATTGTTACAGAATATATGAAGCATGGTAAGTTGTGAAAATGTTATTTAATAATTACATATATTGTAAAAACTTTAAATTACCTTTTAAAGATAAATCACATATAAATTATAAATTATTTTATGCTTTGCTTTATATATGTTATATAGCACTTTATTTCCAAACTGAAAACTAATACAATAGAATAAAAAAAAGATTTAAATTTGTTGATTACATTTTAAAAAAATTCACTTAGCCAGATGGCTGCAAAATGTTTATAAGTAATATTTTTAATAAAATTAATTATAATTATATAAAAAATTTGTAAAGATTGCATTACATTTAACTGTTTTCAAATATTTTTATTATAGTATATTGACTATTTTTAAAATTTTACTTGTATTTTATTTTTTAGGATCATTACTGAATTATCTTCGAAAATGTGAAGCTAGATTATGTCAAAAACCAGCAGTTTTATTAGATATGTGCATTCAAGTCTGCAGTGGAATGGCATATTTAGAACTATATAATTATATACATAGAGATTTAGCTGCTCGTAATTGTTTAGTTGGAGAAGGAAATGTTGTAAAAGTGGCAGATTTTGGTTTGGCCAGGTATGTAAATATTTTCATTTTTAGACAGTTTGTAAATTAAATAAAATATTTTTCGGATGGAAATTTGTTTCTAATTAGTGTAATTTTATTATTTTTTCGACGAAAATTTCTTACATATAATTTATATGTAATATTGTATCATTGTGTAAAATTACTTATGCATATTTTCTTTTACTTTTGTTTGTACTTGTTTAATATAAGTCATATTCCAATTTACATAATCAATCAAACAGTTGAAAATTATGGATTATTTTAAAACTATAATAAATATAATGATTATAATTAAATTAATCAATTAAAAAATTTAAAATAATGTTTAAGCCTGAAGTATGTTATCAGTTATTCTATTCAGAACTTCGTTTTTCTTTTTATTTTAAACATAATTTTGAATCATAATACATCACTACTAATTGGTTAATCTCTCCCTGGAAACATTTCCATTTATAGGCTCTCCATTACATTCAATATACTTCAATTTATCTTCTTGGTGTGTGTATACACTTTTATATAATAAACTGGAATTTAATACATATAACATTGAACCAAAAATATGGATTATTTTTATGCTATACTCAATTTACTTATTAAATAATTTTGCACATAAAGTTAGTGAGTAATGACTGGAATTAACTTAATAAATAATTTAGAAATATTCATGTATATTTACTTATCATACTATGTAGAAGTTGAAGCTAACTGAGTACACTAATGGTCCTTGAAGAGAATTATATCTAACAGGATAAATCAATCAGTTTGGTGTATTCAGGAGTGATATTTAGCCAGTATGTACAGTACTAACACAGTCATACTAATTATTAAATTCTAGAAATATTTCCATACTGATAGACATTAATTATGACTATAACATTTAATAATGTTAATTGACATAAGAAATTACATCAAAATCCTTTTGTCAAGGTGTAGTTCATACAAAGGCATCATTTAAAAAAAGATTTCACTAGCAATCCCCTAAAATGCATAAATGGTTTTGAAATTATTACAGTGATGTGTGTGAGTACTTACATCAACTATTGATAGATGACAGGTACACAGTTATAAATAAGATAAATTCTCTAACTTGCTTCTACATACATTTTTCTTTTTTAAATTACTTGCATTATATATGAATTAATATAAGCGTATATTAACTTTGAGTATCATCACTTGTTGCAATTATAATTTCAATTTTTGTTTATCTGTAGATAAGGATTGGAAATGTTCTATTTAATTCTTATTAAATTTATTGCAAGTTAGCTACTATTTACCTTTAGTATCAAATTATTAAATGAATAAATTGAATTAAGCACAAAAATATTCTGTAATTTCTGGTTTTTTAGTTGGTTGCTACAATACTCTCTCTCAAAAAGATTTTTACATTAAAAAATCAATAGTTGAACAATAATTCATAAAGTTTAGAAGTTGTCAAAGAACTCCATATTGAGTGACTTAATCAATATTATAATAACCATAAAATGCTAAATATATCATAATCCCGATTCCTCGAGCTTAAATATTGTAGTCAATGATGCTGTGTGTTAGGAAATTTATTCTTCCTATTGTGATTGAATTAGATGTTTATATTTGAGAAAATTTGCAGCGGAAGATTAACTTAAGTATTTATTTATAAAAATTTAAGTCTACTTCTATTGTATTAATTCTATAACCTATGGAAATCAGTTTGTTTATAGTATTGATTATTGTTAAAATTGTTCTTACTACTTGTTTTATATGCAGGTTGCATGTCAGCATGCAATGCATAAAACAAAATTTCATGTAAATTTGTACTCTATCCTAAGTAGTCTCAGATGACTGACTAGACACTTACGCAACCATTTACAATTAACAGAAAAACATTAAAACATTTAAAACGTTTTAAATAGGATTCATTGGTAACAATTAAGTTCAATATTTCTGAATATTCAGAGCAAAATTTTATTGTACTGTATTGAATATACACACTTCTTGAGAAAAGTACATAGAAACCAGTTTATCAGTAGTTCTATGCTCAAAATATGAAGCTGGAGAATCATGGTTACCCGAATTAAGAGTCAGATTCAATAGTACTAGGATTTTGTTAACTATTTGCCATCTTCAAAAACAAAATCCACATATGATAATCTTGTATGAAAAAAAACCATTCTGTAATATAATCAGAGTATTTAAGGTTACTGTGTTGTTTATATTGAGTATACATCTATGTTTAAACTGAATCCAGCTTATAAGCAATCAATTAATATTCATATTTAAGAAAATATCCATTACATACAGGGAGATGAAAAAGTAGGTATACAGTTGTAAATCTGAGACATGCACATGTTTGGTGTACATTATTATTATCATCTTTTATTATTAGTCATATTCCTTCTTTGTGATTTAATTTATGCATAAAAATAAATGTTTTTTTCTATAACAGCAAATATATACCTACTTTTGCACTACCCTGTAGATTGAATTAAATTTTGAATTTATTTTAACTTTTGGAAGTAATGAAACATCTTCATTAATAAATTTTTATTTAAAATTCAACAAAAAAAAATTAATTGAAATACAAATAGAATATTTCAATAAAAGTGTTTCATAAATTTAACAATAACTAATTCATTTTATGTAAATATTTTATCAGGATAAACCAATTATTTTAAAATTGATTGACTATTAATTTAAATTATCATCTTTATTTGTATGTACCTTTATAATAATTTACTTATTTGTGGCACTGTATATTTAATATTTATATTATTACTTCAGATATGTTATAGATGATGAATATACAAGTTCTGGAGGCACCAAATTTCCAATCAAATGGGCACCACCTGAAGTATTAGGATATACAAGGTTCAGCAGTAAATCAGATGTATGGGCATATGGTAAGTTCTTTTTTGATTATGTATGTGTTTAATATATAATGTTTATTAAGAAAAGTATAAACCATAGTGTATAAACAATGTCTATTAAAGAAATAAACAGTTTATGAGGACAATATATTTACCTCTACTTAGTCTTTTTGTGGAATTCATAAATTTATTTTGCAGTAATGTTAGCAGGTATGAAAATGTGAAAAAATGTAGTGGTATATGAAAAAATTGAAGCATTTATTTAAGTTAGATTTGATATTGAAATATAGACTTCATATAATACATTATATTATGGTACTTATCATTCATAATTTTGTTACAAAATATCATCATCATTCGATGCAATAACTGTTGTACTGCAGATAATTCCATTCAACATATTGGTTGTTGCTTGATGTTACAGATTGTGCTGTATTTTAGTGTGTTGTGGTTTTTCTATAATATATCAGTTCAGCTACAGTGCACTTAATATTGGTTTATTGCAGATTTTACAGGACATGGTAATATCAGTGTTGATAGTTGAGTTTAACATCATCTTTTACTTGTGAAGTCCAATCATCTTTTACTATTGTTACATTATTAGTAAAAAATACATAATCTAATATTTTGGCTTAAATTTAATGAAAATTCAAGAATAAGTGTTTTGTGAGAAACCAGGGGGGATAGAGCATCAAACTCTAAACCCCTTTTAATGGTGATGGTCTGGTGAACACCACTGACACTCACTGTCACTATCACACATCACACATTGCCACTGGATGGCTATTTAAAATACAAGGGCTATAATTCAAGTGGGGAGGTCACGTTGGGTAAGTTGATAGGATGTCCGTTACTCTGATTAGTGACAGGTTGACAGGTTAACTAAATAAGTTTAATAGAAAAATAAAGCATAAGATACAATATACAAGTGACAGATACAATTATAGCTATACATTACTACACTAAAGGTCAATGACCTAGACTATAGGCATTTATAATTATTACTACTGGCCCTAACTCAAATCCTAAATGACAGTGGGCTAAGATATAATTCTTGAAAGAGAGTGCACAAGAATTATTACCTTAGTTGACTGTCTTTGATGAGCCGATGTTTTCAGGTCGAATTGAAGTAAAATCAGTATCCAGTGCAGAGTCTTCTATGTGCACAGAGGGTGGCGAACTGGCTTTAACTGTGGCCACATGGGAAAATGTTCCCTTAGTATATGGTTAGAGAAAAGTAGTTTATGTCTGTTGTTGTCGACTTTGTCTGCTCCTACTAATAGGTGTCTGGCCATTATATGTTTATTCAGTGTGGGAATTTGATCAGGTGACCCATTTGTTTGGTAGCGATTGTTTGTAGATTTTCTTCTTACACTAAGTTAAGTATCAACTTTCTCACATTTGACAGTCGACTGTTATAACATAATTATGCTAATTTTGCAGGTCAATGTGAAGGAGGAAAGGACTTGTTGACAGTTATGTTAATACAGTGGGTAATTGGTTAACAAACAAATTTGATAATGAACACTTTTGCGAAAGATTTTTATGTTTGTAAACACAAGAAGAAGCAACATAAAATAATGAATACCGATTGGTCTTCCCTTGTCTTCAGGCAACAATTCAAACTTTTCGGAGCACGAGAGACATTGACATAGACGCTCAACCCGGTATATACTGATCAGATAGTATTCCTCCGAACTTTGAAACTCTCCTTTGTAATTCCAGTCTTTTATTTTTCTGACAGAAACAATTCTTTTATAGTATTTGCAAGACTGTCAGGCAGGCACTTGTTAAGTTTTGAATTGGTTTTTATTTTTGAAAGGAGCGAGTTTTATATCAAAGATAGAGGTGGGAATAATGATGTCTTATTGCTGGGCACTATGGCTTGAACAGGTCTACAGTAGGCTGCAGTTCTATCTTATCTAAGAAAGATACTGTATAATCAAGAAGACTCAAGCAGCTAAAGGAGTAACAAAAATCATATCTGAGAAATAAAGAACATTAAAGAGCTCATAATGAAACCTGATATGGTCTGACAGCAGAAGAACATTAAGAACTCTTGAATGAATAACACCAAGAAACTCGGCGAGATATGTTTTCTTATGAAAAAGAGGATTAATGCCATTATCTGCTATTAAAGATCTTTTGAAGAAGTGGGAGGATGTCAGAACAACAGTCTTAGAATGGCATCTAAACCAGATTGAGGTTAATAGACTTGGGGATCTCTACAATTACAATGCTATTAATTAATTACTTCTGAAAAATTCTGAAGAAGAGAGAAAAGCAATCGACATTAGACAGATTCTTTAACCTCCACAAATGGAAAAAACATGACTAATAAAAATACAAGACTGTGTATACATGTATTTTTATTATTACATATAAATAAACATAGTAAGAAAGTATATAATTTTTTATTTTTGGGGATCTCCAGAACGGGTTAATCAAATTCCCATAGAAACCTATGGTAAATCAATAATCGGTTAACGAACAGTTCGGAAAGTGAACAAAGTCTTGGAACGGATTATGTTCGTTACCCATTCACTGTCCAATCACTCACTGTATTTGGTAATTTCCCGTTCTTATTCCATGGGAACTGGACAGAAAAAGGAGAAAGTTTATAAAGCTTCTCTTTTCATTTAAAATTTATATAAAAACAGCCTTTGAATTCTCACGGTTTTATTAATGATGTAATTAGTAAAAAAAATAATTGTATACTTTCATAATAATTAAGACATATAACCTTTCCTGTTGAACTAGTTCAATGTCGTGTTACAGGGGTGTTTTCACCAATATTATTTAGCATATTTACTACTTTAATTCTGAATTGCTTGGACATAGAAATCTGTGCTCACTAAATTAAAATGTGTAAATTAAATATTTATCAACTAGGACAGGTAAAATATTAAAAGAGAACTGTTTTAATTGCAGAAAATAATATTTTGTGTGTAAAAGTAACAAGTATGAGAAATTGAGATATGTAATTCATTCACTGCATTAGATTGCAAATTCATGCTTTCTCTTCCAATCCCAGTTTTTATTTGTTACTTGAGAAAGAGAAGATAAATTACTTAAAAGGAAAATAACTTACACAAATTATATAGTTCATATAATTTGTGTAAATTATATGAACTATATAATTTGTGTAAGTTACATCTTAAAAATAAATTGTTAGAAGGATGAGCTTTCTGTGATTTGTAATGCAAATATTTACTAGGATGACTTAAATTTTTAGAAAGACGTTTTAATGTTTTCATAAATGAGAAATTATTGGACTTGCTATATAAATGAAGGATGTAAAGTATAAATATTTCAAAGCTGATATAAAGATCAATAATTATAATAAATCAATAATCATTGCCATCCAGAAATTTTTGAATTATAAAAATTGAATTTTGAAATACAGTAGAGCATCAATTATCCAAATCAATTGGGGACTAGGGTTGTTTGGAAAATCGATTTTTCAGATAACTGATTATGTACGAAAAAATATATTAACCTATCCCATGTTGAAATTTATTCAAATCCTGGCATATCCTTAAGTACCTTCTCATGGTCATGCCAGTGCTACCAGCTAAAACACGCACACCAACAAAAATAATGTTGTAGTAGCCCAAGACATAGCCAAAGATTGCAGCACCACAGTACTAGCGGAAATTAAATTTGCCAACTGGAAAGCTTTCGGTTAATTGACGTTTCAGTTGATCGATATTCAGATATTTAATGCTCTACTGTATTTTATAAATCTACATTAAAATAATTTTTAAAAAACACTATACACTATTTCTAAAATTGCCAGTAAATAAAGATAAATTGTGTTCAGAAAAATCAAAGAATATTAAATTAGAAACAATTTTAATATGATGATACTCAAAAGTAAAGAAAATAATTCTTAATTAATAATCATTATTCATAGTCAAGTAGTTTAATAAGAATGAAAATGTTTTGATTATTTTAAGTTAATAGTTCATAAAATAATTGCTGAATAATAAAAATCTCAAGGTATTTATTATTTTTGATTTCCTTTATTACTATTTATTATTTTTTTCATTTTTGCAATAAATTAGGGAATTAATTAGTAGTAGTTGTTCCAATTTATAAATTTGCTTAATTTTATTTTTATTATTATTAGGAGTACTTATGTGGGAAGTATTTACTTGTGGAAAGATGCCTTATGGTCGTGCTACTAATGCTGAAGTTGTTGAACAAGTACAAAGAGGACAGCGATTAGAAAGACCAAGAGCATGTCCACGAGAAGTTTATGTAATTATGAGGTCTTGTTGGGAAAAGGTAATTGAATTAAACTATGCTAAGTAGAAGAAATATTTGTAATGTTAATTGAATATTTAAAAATAAGGATTATCCTAAAACATGCACAAAGTAATGTTACTAATGCTATTAAAATGGTTTAAATAAACAATATTTGCACTAACATTTAAATCAATATCCTTGGAGACCTACAACTATTTCCCAACATTGCGATAGCTGTGTATACATTAGGTTATAACTGCAAGCAGTGTATTAATTATTGAAAAATATTGGTCACGAAATTGTTCTTCAGCTCAGGATACAGGTCATAATTAGGAGACCTATGTCCAGTCTGTAGGTCAGATGAGGACATGTTTTTCTAATTGTAATTGGTAAAAACGTCATATCTTGCATAAGTTCTTGCATTATCATAAAGAATTAACACACTAGATTTCAATAACTGTAGTTGTTCTTGTAAATTTTCAGTTGCAATTTCTGATGCAAAATTGTTGCAACAACCTGTGGAAACTGGAGATTACTCCAATTTCCACAGGTTGTTGGAATAACACCTTTTTAATTATTTGCCATTATGATCATTTATTTAGCTTTTAACTGTTTTCCATGACATTTCAAGGGACATAGTGAAGAAGGATGTTTTCCATTGAGCTGCTTGTGATTTCAGTTCAGGTTTTAAATCATATTTCTACATCAGGATGTATGATCATGTAGTTTATATTCTAATTGTAAGATTTTTTATTTGTAAAGTTAGCTTCTTGTCCTTAATTCATTTTTATAAAAAAAAAATATTCTATGCCTACTTAAGCCTTTATTCAGTCAGGAGTTATTACACTTGTAGTATGGAAGGAAGAAAAAACTTTGTTTTCCATTTTATTATTATTATTTTTCCTTATTTCTCCCAAATGCATTTCAAATATTTTCTGTTCTTCTTTAATGGATATAAAGGTAAGATTATTTGGCACAATATTTACAAGATAGCATATAATCAGTAATACCTCACAAATTTATAAGAGCTTTCATTTAACATTTTGACTTGACCTGAAGCACTTTCATTATCAATTTCAACTGCTTCTGCACAGACATTTTTTTTTTTTAGAAAAGCACTGACATGTTTAGTAAAAGTTCTGTTTGTTAATGTGAAAAACAAAATCATGCTTGTCTGTAAGGAGAAGTATGCTTGTCCAGTGTGCATTTTTGGAATAATCTTTTTATTAAAACAAGGCTTTAACTAATTCCTTTCTCATAATATTAATTCACAATAAATAGTGTTTTATTAATTGTAAACTAAAGATAAGAAAAATTTGAAAATTCAGAATTCTGGTAATAAAAATCTGATTTAAGAATAGTTTAATTCTTAATTTTAAACTAATTAAATGCAACAGAAATATGAAATAATTTAAAGTAATATGCAATATACAACCATACTAACATTTAGCAATTTGTGTTTGAGTAACATTGCAAAACTTTGCTTTATATTAATTAAGCATTTATAAGCATTAATAAAGCTATATTTTTGTTGTTAGTATTATTTGAAAGATATTCTATAAAATTTATCTAATTTGAAGTGTTTCACTACTATTAATTATTAATGTATTTCAAATCTTGTAATATACAAGGTCTGTTCAAAAAGTATCGGACCTTTGGTCGGCAAAAATAAATTTATTGACTTTGAGGTACAAAACCCTAATCCCCTTCAAAGTAGTCTCCTTGGTAATGTATACACTTCTCCCAGCGTTCCTGCCATTGCTGGAAACACTGCTGGAACGCATCTTTTGGAATGGTTATCAGCCGGTCCGTCGCATTTCGCATGATGTCTTCTCTCGACTAAATTTGGGTTCCTTTTAGCGGCATTTTCAGCTTGAGAAATAGCCAAAGGTCACACGGAGCCATGTGGAGAGAGTACGGAGCGTGACGAACCACAGGAGTATTGTGTTTGGCGACGAAAGCCCGAATCAGATGCGCAGAATGGGCGGATGCGTTATCACGATGGAGCTGCCAAGTTTTGATCGACCACAGATCCGGTCGTTTGCGTCGCACTGTATCGGAAAGACGACGAAGGACCTCCTGGTAGTACTCCTTTGCGATGGTTTGGCCTTGTGGTGCGTACTCACGACACACCACCCCACGAGAGTCGAAAAAACTGTCAACATGACCTTTGATATTGCTGCAGACCTGCCGCGCTTTTTTTTGGCCTCGAGGATCGTCCCCGAAAGCCTGCTGAATCTTGCGAATGATTTACACTCGGGTATCGCCAAGGTTTTTGGCAAAATTTGATGTAATACCGCTGCTCGCGTTGTTCAGTCATTTTTCAGCTTAGTGGAATCCGACGAGAGCGCTCTACATGACCTCACTCATAGGCCGATTGCCAACGACTGACGCTTCCTGCAGGCGGGAAAAAATTCAGAGATGTGCATGACTGTCCCCTCCACAACTCCACCAAAGGAGGCCTCTCGCGCATCATTGGTTTACACGGAAAAAAATAAGGTCCGATACTTTTTGAACAGACCTTGTACAAATATTCTGAATAAAAAAATAATTTAAATTTTTAATATAAAAATTTTTTAAAATTAAAATCAGTAATAAAGGTTTATAATAAAAGTAATTAATTACAGATAATAATTTTTATCCAAATTGAAAGAGATTCAAATTATTGAATTATAAATTTTGTTATATAGCAAGTAAAGTTTTATTGGTCATTATGGAAGTGAATGACATTATTTTTTTAATTGCTCAGGATTGAAATTTATTTCAATGATTTATTATTATTATTAATTTATTTTTTCAGTGGAAAACTATGGTCAGAGTTTAAAAAATAGTTATAATTTTCATTGCTAGTGATCTGTGATGGTGTCATACATATCATAACATCAGCATTCTGGGAACTTTGTCTTTTCTAAACTACAGCAAAGCTGATGAGACACTGTTTGACATATTTGGCAGCGAAAGGGTGATTATTGCTTATTTACCTGACCGCGTGACTTCTGGTTACAGGGCTGTTTGAAAAGTAGGGTTTATACAAGTAGAGTTGCAGATTTATGAGAATTAAAGAGGCAACTGGAAAGAAAAGTGAGTCTCATCTGTTCTGATATGTTGCACTTGACTGTTGCTAATGTGAAGTCAATTGCAGTGACTGAGAGTGGCAGAATGTTGAACAGTTTCTTTGATGCTGTAGCAACAGTAGTGCTATTACAAACCTCTTGTGGTGAAAATTGTAACCGTTTTTGAAACTCCCATAGTTTTCCTGTATCAAAATAAACATTGCCTGCAAAATTTTATCAATCTATCTCTAACAGTTTTGTTTCCAGATTGGTCAAAAGTGATATACTTTATTTTGGTCTATATGGCTTGATTATTATTTTACATTACTTAAAATACAGTAATTTATTTCATTTATACTTTATGTTACATTTCACCATCTGTTGCAAAAGTATTCTAAAATTAAGTTATTGTTTCTAGTTTACTAGCATTCAGTTCGTGCAATTTTTACTGCCCCTGCTATTATAGAATATAATATACAGAAATTATGGCAATCAAATTTTGATCTCCTCTTGTTTTTTGCATTTCTCAATGTTTTGACACTCCAAGAGCCCAAAAATGTAAAAAACATGCTTACAAAGTTTTGTATGCATGATGACTATGACCAGGTCATAGCAAGATTTGCATATGATTACATTGTGGCAGAATGGACTTCTGCAGGATGGGATTTTGAAGCTGCTAATACAGTGGCAAAAATGTGTCAATCACTCAAGCAGATATTTGGAAAAGTAGCAATATGTTCCAAGGTACATTGACCACAAGAAATATTAAAGAAAATTGTTATTGAATTCATGCAATATTGGTTGGCTTATAACTTTTGGTACATGCCACATATATAGAGCCATGTATAGGCATTCTTTGCCAATTGCAGGGTTATAGTCCAATAAAAGACTTGGTTGATCAAAATGCAGTCACTGAAACATGACTCTGTGGACCTTAAAGAATTAGAAGAAGAATAACCAAGTCATTGAATGTGTGTTTTATAATGAAAAAAATTTTACATCAATAATATAACAGCATAATGAAAATTTTTATAAATCACAAGAAATGAAAAAAATTTTAAAACTCAAACTGAATGAGAAACATCATAACTCTTCATAAGAAAGCTGAGAATTAAAGCCTGGATAATTTGGCTTTTCAAATATCTTTGAACTATTTATAGGGTGCTAACAATGTTTAAAATATAAAAATATTTAATATTTTCATTAAACTCAATTCTTCAGAGAAATTTGATTATTTTGAAACCACATTTGGGGAAGATCATGATTGACAAATGATTTGGTGGTTTTATTTGTTGCAAGAGTATAAATAGAGTAACAAGATATAATACGATTTTTTTTCCTTATGTAATTTTTGGTTTTGGACTAAATCTAACAGTTAAAATAGTTATAAATTATAATTTCTGAATTTATCTAATCAAGAACATTTTTAGTTAGGATGTGATTTCTCATTCCCTGTTTAGTGTAAAAACAAACAATTTGATTAAAAATCGCATTTTAATGAGCAGATTCAAAAATGCAATGTATTACCTTTACTTGATACTTATTATATTAATCAATAAATAATTGATTATGATTCTGTTTAAAATGTAAAAATACATCCTTTTTACTATTATTATTTGTCTGCATGTTAAAATGAAATAAGTTAGTATTACTGTATATGTTTCATTTGGAAATAATTACAACATTCTTGAGAATAATCTGAAAAGTGAATAGTGATAAATTACAAAATGAAAATTAAAAATTATTTCCCTAGCATATACTTCAAGATTTGTATAAGTATTCAACAGTAATAAAAAATATTGTTTTGGATGTAAATTCTCTTACATAATCTTACTTCTCTTTTACATTGGATAAAAGATGTGGAATAACGTTAATCAGAAAAATTTTGACTGTAAATTAAACTTAGAAATTACAATATTGTAACTATTATATTTAGCATATATTTATTGTCATTTTCTGTACAATTATTTCTTAATTTATGCAAAGGTTCCAAGGATCATATGCTCCAGAATGTCTAATGCAATTTAAATTTGTGCGTAATATAAATTAAACACAAACTGAAATTTGCATAAGACAATCAACAAAAAAAATATAATAGGTCTTTGAGAGTAACTTTTATATTTTAGCAAAGTTATACTTTATTGTAAAGTAAAAAAGTAAAATATGCACTTCCAGTAGATGACAAGTTGACAATCATCAATAAAACAAAAAGAAAATAGCAGGCTCTCTGACTTCTCGGTGTCAGAATAGCCTGCTGCCAAGAAGCCAGATGGTGAGCTTCTTGTAGTGATTTTCTATGTAAGTTTGTAATTTAAACACATGTAAATTAAAGGCCAGTCTATTTACATCTTTGAAAAGATGAAATATTTTTTTCAAGTTATTATTTATGATAAAAATTACATATGATTAAATTCTGGCATCTTTTTAATAAGAAATTTTTAATATTTTCAAAAGTAAAGAAAAAGAAAACAAAGGAAAAACCATAAAAGTTACAGCTTTTATGTGACAGAAAAAGCAATATGAATTTAACAAAGAATTTTCAAAAATAACATTGTTAACTACAGGGAGTCTGACATTTTTGTCAGTGTTTAATTTTTTTTTATTTAATTAATTAATTAATAAATTTTAATATTTTATTGTACATTATAAAGCAATTTTTATATACATAAAAGCAATTTTTGTAATAATTACATTAAAATATGTTGATATTTTAAATTAATTATTGGATTGTTAGTATTATCTGATAATGAATTTTAAATAATTTGTCTTTTGTTTAGCATTGATAAACAAAATAATTTTTCAATTGTTTCAATAATTTTGAATACAATAGAATCTACTTATAGTTATCATTTCTTAGTTTATTAGAATTAGCATGTTTCAAAACAAATAAAATAAAATGCATTTACAAACCTTGTTTATGGTAATCATTTTTAATTATCATTATTTTTAGGTAAAGAGGCATTTTTAACCAATTAAAGATTACATTGCTTAAACAACAGTATTTATACAAGAATGGATGAATTAATATTAATTAATAAATCTTCAAATTACATTTACAGTTCTACATTTTTAATTGTATTAATATGGCCTTTTGATATCAAAGTCAATAAAACTAGAGATTCCACTAATTGTATTGTTATTTAAGGTCAATTCATACTTTATAGAAAAGAGGACAGAAAATGATGCTAAATTAGTTTAGTGCATAACATTTCACACATTATTTGTGCTTTTGTTCTCTTTTGGTTCATAGAGAGAAGTAGAAGAAAGTTTTATAATTTTTTTTATACATTGCAAAAAAGACTAATAAATTACCTGAATGTAAAGATATAAAGTTTGAGTAAACATTAATTTAAACCTTACATAAAATATCAAAAATATATTTTAAGACTATCTTTCTAACTTCCTTTTGTTGGATTGTAATATTCTTCACTTTCTTTCTTCTTAAAGTTATTAGAAACAGGTGTTCTTCTCTTTTAAAGCATTTTACAAATGAGTTATGGAATTGATGAGCACTCTGAAGTGCATCAGAGCAAGATAATTTAAACCAAGAGTGCCACCAACACATTTCTCACTCATTATTTCAAAGTATAAACATTTGTGAGGATATTAGAACAGAAAGGAGAACGGATAAATTCTCTTCTCTTTTCCATTCTTACCAAGTATGTTACCAGTTACCAGTATAAGAGACACTCAAAATAATAAGTTGATTCTATTATTATAATAATTACATTAAAATATGTTGATATTTTAAATTAATTATTGGATTGTTAGTATTATCTGATAATGAATTTTAAATAATTTGTCTTTTGTTTAGCATTGATAAACAAAATAATTTTTCAATTGTTTCAATAATTTTGAATACAATAGAATCTACTTATAGTTATCATTTCTTAGTTTATTAGAATTAGCATGTTTCAAAACAAATAAAATAAAATGCATTTACAAACCTTGTTTATGGTAATCATTTTTAATTATCATTATTTTTAGGTAAAGAGGCATTTTTAACCAATTAAAGATTACATTGCTTAAACAACAGTATTTATACAAGAATGGATGAATTAATATTAATTAATAAATCTTCAAATTACATTTACAGTTCTACATTTTTAATTGTATTAATATGGCCTTTTGATATCAAAGTCAATAAAACTAGAGATTCCACTAATTGTATTGTTATTTAAGGTCAATTCATACTTTATAGAAAAGAGGACAGAAAATGATGCTAAATTAGTTTAGTGCATAACATTTCACACATTATTTGTGCTTTTGTTCTCTTTTGGTTCATAGAGAGAAGTAGAAGAAAGTTTTATAATTTTTTTTATACATTGCAAAAAAGACTAATAAATTACCTGAATGTAAAGATATAAAGTTTGAGTAAACATTAATTTAAACCTTACATAAAATATCAAAAATATATTTTAAGACTATCTTTCTAACTTCCTTTTGTTGGATTGTAATATTCTTCACTTTCTTTCTTCTTAAAGTTATTAGAAACAGGTGTTCTTCTCTTTTAAAGCATTTTACAAATGAGTTATGGAATTGATGAGCACTCTGAAGTGCATCAGAGCAAGATAATTTAAACCAAGAGTGCCACCAACACATTTCTCACTCATTATTTCAAAGTATAAACATTTGTGAGGATATTAGAACAGAAAGGAGAACAGATAAATTCTCTTCTCTTTTCCATTCTTACCAAGTATGTTACCAGTTACCAGTATAAGAGACACTCAAAATAATAAGTTGATTCTATTATTATAATAATTACATTAATAAAAGTTATTAAATTGCATTTAATAATTTTTATTAGTATTTTGTTGATATAAGATTACTATAATTTATAATTTTTTAATTTTCAAACAGCATCCAGAAGATAGGCCATCATTTAGATCTCTAAATCAACAGCTTGAAAAAATTTTGGAAGAAAAGGATTAGAAGATAAAGTTTAGTAATAATTAAAATAGTAATAATTTACAAGTTATGATTTTCCTGTTTTTCACTAAGATGTAAAACAATATTTCTAATGATAATATGAAAAAGATTTTTCATATTATTGATATCAATTTTTATATTATTTGAGACATAATGAAGTGTTATGCCTCAGAACTCAAAATGCAATTTACATTAGTATTTTAATTGAAAATATACATTAATTCTAAAGAAATAATTTAAAAAGCAACTCACAACTTTTACAAAGAATATTACTATATTATGGCAGTTAGTCAGCCATACTATAGTAGAGATTGCCTTCTTTTTCCATAACATATCAATATTCTTGTCTGTTCTTAATTTTCCACTATCATTTAATTAAAAATAAGTAGTTATTTTATAATAATGCATAATTTTGTTAAATTTTAATTTAAAATTCATACTTTATTTTGTATTAATTTAATAATGTAAAGTATNCAAATCCTGTTTTTTTGTAGCTGTTAATTTATTATTCATTAAAATTGCCAATAAATGACAATATTTATAATGGAAAATTGTTTTATTAATAATAAATTTTCATTCCATTCAAATTATTGCAAGACTTGGTAAATTAAGCAATAAATATTGATATATTTGTTCGTAAAAGTAAAATTCATCATATCTTCTTTTTCCTTTGACAACTCCCATGAAATTTTTTCTTTTTCTTGTTTTCTGCTTTGGATAATTGACATGAATTTTAGAAGCTCTTTCATTACAGTGAGAAAAAAGATTTATGAATATATAAAAACAAATATTTACATTAAAATAAATGTATAAAATAAGCACAATATGAAGAGAATACAAGATTCTTAATACAGAAATTTAAAAATCAAAAATTTTTGATAAATTTTTCTATTTTAAGATTGAAAATTGCTATAAAATACGAAAGAAAATTCTTTTGAAACTATTTTCTGAACTGCATTAAAATGAATGATTTTTGACTAAAAGATTAGATATACAGACATACTTATTTTTAGTCTGTAATAATCTTGTAAATTTATGATGATAAATCTCATATACTATATTATAATTACAAAAAAAAACTAAATTTTATATGCCAGAGAATATATAATATTTTTATTATATTCAGCTAATCCAATATGAAATCAATTAGCAATAAGAATATATATAAACAAAACCAATTCAATTAATTTGAAATATTTTTAAACATAATTATCCTTATAATAGTATTTTTAAAATTATTATATTTTGCATTTTAATAACAATGATTTAATTCCAGAAACTTATTATAGCTTGTAATTAATCAATAACGATATTCTTACTTCAAGTAAGGTTTTCAAATATCATTTATGAATATCCTGTTCAAACTGTGATTTCCTCTTTCTAAACAGGGTAAATTTTAAAATGAAGTACAAAAGAATCATGATTGATATGTAATATTTTAATTAAAACAGATTACTGAAATTTTAATTCTAAACTTTATTAAATGAAAAGATTTTCTATAAGAAAGATGATCTTAAATTTACCTAAGTGTCTTTGGTTGTTAATGTGCTATGCATATTACTGAATTTCTAAGATATTGGTAGTCAGAACAGAAATTTGTTAATGTTTGTTTGATTGGATGTTTATGAAGATACTTGTAGTCAATTTTGTAAATACTGTATTGTTAGAAGAAGACAACGAAACTGTGAAATTGTTCTTTCTGTGTTATTAAACTACTATAAATGATGATTTAATATGTATTTACAATCAATATACACTTTGTATATTTGTACAGTATTCTTAATTTGTATGGATGGATTTTTTTCTATTGTATGTTTATACCAAATATACAATGTTCACAAACTTGATTTAGGTGAGTTGTGATCTTTTTCTCATTTTTCTATACTTGTTTGTACGAACTAAATAAAAGTATATTATGAAAATTTATTTGTTGAATTTTAAGTATAATTCATTTAATGTACAAGTTATAGAATAATTACTTTGTTATAGTAATTTAGGAAAAACGTTTTTTGCTTACTTTTTTTATTTCAAATACATATCAATTACATTTTTTTAATTTTAATTGATTTATAAATTGTGAATTTCTTTGTTTCACAAATTTATAAAATTATTTTAGTACTAATTAAATTTTTTAATAACAGAAAAAACATTACATTTTTACTTTTCTTAAATAATTGACTTCTGATTCCACTGATACATAAGTATAATAAAATTTATATGACAGAAATTTGTTTTGAGAATTCTTAATAAATAGAAATATATCACAATACAGTGTACATTACTGTAACCATTATAAATATAATTCTTGTTATATTCCTCATTCAGATATGTTTATTCCCCTCCAAATAATGCTTTAGCCAATAATTGCCATTAAATTTCTACTTGTGAAGAAATATTACCTTATTTCAATCATTTACCTTGAAACTATCATTGCATGAAATACAAGGCAATTCACTTGAGCCTGAACACATTTTGTTCAATACCTCACTGATAGCATCATCACATTTGAATAACAAGTAAGGTTAAACATACCTTGGTCAATTGCTTCATCATGAAATAAAGAATCATTCTGTTTGTATTATATTTTATGCTCATCTTTTCATTTTATATGGCAATATTCCACATAAGTGAATGCCCAGAATGAATCACCTTATACAATCCACATAAAAGCAAGTCATTATGGAGATTGATAATAGACAAAACAGATAGATGTATTGATTATATCACTCATTTGGTTTATTTCTGATATACATGATATAATGAATGGCTACTGTATCATTTGGTTGAAATTTGAAATGATTAAATTAATTAACGAGTAATTATAAATGTTTTTAAACAATCTTTACTATTTTTACTATAATAAAAACATTACAAGTGGAATTCAGAAACAAAGTTTTTAATAATAATGAAAACAAAGCAAACTTCCCAATATGTGAATTTATGATATTCAAATTATTTTCAGGACCAAATTTTTGTTTCTAAGAAGAATTTTTATTTGTGAAAAATATATAATTACCTAATATGAAAATACAGTAACAATAAGCAAAATAAAATTGATTTTTAACTTTTTAGTATTTTACCCAAATAAAGCAACATCTATCAGGAGTTTGTCTTTTTGAATGTTTATGAAGCTGATGATGATCTGAAATAGGAATGAAAATGTTACTTGCTGTAAATAAAATTGGCTACTTCAAAGTAAGTATTTTAATATTTTGATGACATGGTATCAGGAGGTTGACAATAATGAATGCTTAATAATTCTATGCATTTTTAATTTCTATATGACTATTTCAACCAGATAAAATACAGATTTTCATAAATGTTGATTATTATCAATACAGCTATAAATTTGGCATCTGAATTATATCTTCAACAAAAAATATTCTTTAGTAACCATTGTTATATACAAATTCAATAAATAGTCATATTAGAAATTTGTTTCAAATTTTTCCAAATGTGCTTCAAAGTTATTGTGATAAAAGTAGGGAGTAATTTTATCAGAATTTGTTCTTATTTGTTTCATGTTACCATGGTTGTGCAGTTTATCACAAAATTTCAGTGCAGTCTTATGAGTTTATTCATAACAGTTCATTTGTTTGTTTTCATTGTTTTATTTTTATACAATAGCCTGATATTTTAATTTACAGTATCATTACAATATTATTGTTGATGCTATTGCATATCAAAGAAAATGCAGTTCAGATACAATAATAAGAGGTAGTATACAAACTTATTGCATTGTTTACAAACATATTCTTTAATGAACAAATATGGTGTTCCACATCAAAAATTTATAAAAGAACACACTGTCTTTCAATGCTAAAAATTTACATTAAAACACTAAAACTATGCAAGTACTTTTGGCAGCTATTCATATCTGTTGTCTTTAGACAACAAAATTTGAAAATTAAAGGGACTGTTACAGGTACAAGTCAATTGGAATAGAATACAATTCAGATTCAAATACAAATTAATTAATTAAAAATAAGTAAATGTGCATCAATGTATATGCAAAATTAATAAAAAAAAACATAACACATGCAAAGATGAATTTGACAGAAATGAATAAAAAGAAAAGTTACAAGCATTCATGAAACCACTAATAAGAATGTACTGGAACTAGATAAAAGAGAGGCTAGAATAGGTGTTTATAACTATGATATAAACTGAAGTGCCAAAAAATTAGACACACCTACCTAAAAGCATGTAGCTCCTCCCTGAGCCTGAATAACAATGGCTACTTGACATGGCATAGACTGAGGTCTGAGTTGGTGCACAGATATTTCAATCCAGACATGTTCATTGGTTCTCCACAATTCAGTTGTATTTGTTGGATAGTTCTGCAAGGTATTGAGTAACGCTTGCACAGTGTCCCATAAATGTTCTACGGGATTCAAATTTCCAGCTATTCTCTTGACCAAGGAGGCCAAGAGAACAGCTGGAAATTTGTCAAGTATTTTCAAACCATTGTTGTGCCACTCATGCTCTGTGGGTAGTAGCATAATCCTGCTGGTACAAACCATTACTGTCAGGGAACATATTAAGCATAAAGGGTTGCAAAACATCTGCTACAAGATTAGTATACATTGCACCTGTCAAAGTCGACTGCAGTCTCGCCATTAGTCCCTATTCACACCAATAGAACACACTCCAAACAAGGACAGAGTCTCCACCAGCTTTCACAATGCCTTGCTGACAAGATGGGTTTGTGGCTTCATGTGGTCATCCCTGAGCCCAAATACATGACTATCAGCTCAAAAGAACTGAAAAAAGATTCATCTGACCATATAACACTGCACCAGTCATCCACTGTCCAATTTCAATGTTCTTTGGTGTATTGCCTGATGCCTGGGTGTTAGTAGTGATACCAGAGTGGGTTGGTGACTATCAAACCCCAATGAATGCAGTGTATGTTATATATTGTGTTGACTGATGAGTTCAGAAGCACTTGTGTTAAAGTTTGATGTGATTTGGCACAGAGTTGCCCTTTGTTGCATGGTTACTAACCTGGTTAGCCACTGGCAGTTATGTTCTTGCATCAGCCATGTGTGCCCACACTGTGCATGTGCTTCTGAGGTCTGTCCAGAATTTAAGTATTTCTTGTAAACTCTTGAAACTGCACAAGAAAATCCAAGAGCATTGGTCACCTCATTGATAAAGTGATCCATTCATTATTCTTGCTCCAACAATCTGTCCACAATCAAACTGCAATATAACCTTTACACATCCCAAATTCCACTTCTACAAAAAGCTAAGAAAAAACTGTTCTTATAAATATGTTTAGTGCAGAAGGATTATATAATTATATCCATTTTATTTGATATTGGAGAAATAATAACAGTGATAATGAAACTATTCATTTCCTATGAAATATTCAAAAATCTGTTAATCTCAATTGTTCTTAACACTTGATAATGTTGGAAGTGATTTCAATATTGAAAGCTTATAGATTCAGTGCCATATCTGG